CTACTAGCGTACACCTATACCCTAACCCTAGTACTGCGAAATACTGTCTAGACGTACTAGAAATAATACCGGACAGACAATCGAGTACTACGAGTAAGATGCATCCTGTTTTAGCGTGTAGAACGGCGCCTATAGGCAGTTCTAGAAGTACGGATCCTACTAAATAGGATCCTACTAAAATCTAGACCGTGCAGCTTCGCGCCTTACCGGATTTGGGGAGGATCCTATTGATGTTTAGTTGCCTCCTAGGCCTCATATTGGTTAGGCTTATACTAGCTTATAATAAAGTCGCGCTAATATATAATAAAAGTCTAGATATAGGGAAGCTTAGCAAAAAGCGGACCTTATAATAAGGTTAGCGATAACGATATCTATAGCTATAGACTATTTATAGTCTAAAAATTCTTAGAATACGATATATACTATATAGAGTACCTATAAACTAAATCTAGGCTTAAAACAATATAAAATAAGAGTAATACCTAACCTAATATTTAATACTAAAGTAGTATAGAAATACTTAGTAAGTTTCTTAAGCTTGTTCTTATCTAGTAGCTCGCTAGGAATAGTTAATTAGGTCTTGCTATAGACGGACTATTCCTCCTATATATTAGTAAGAGATTTCTAAGCTAAATCGGACAATATTGTTTAATAGTCTACTTATACTTACGTCTTTTCGTAGACTAGCGGAAAAAGAGTAGGTAAGGAGGATACGAGAAAGAGAATATATAAAGATAACCTTTCTATTATACCTATATAGAACAAGCTCCGTTTTAGATAATATAAGTATAGTAGTATTACTAAGCTTAATAATAGGTCTTCCTACGATTATCTACCTCTAATCGCCTTACTAAGAAGCCGTCTACTATAGTATACGGAATCTTATTAAAGCCTTATAGCGTAATATAGCGTAATATAGCGTAATATAGCTTCGGATAAGCGCCTCTACGCTAGCGGATCTTTAGATCTATCTCTACTAGACTACGTCTCTATTCTTCTATAGATAAAGTAATTAACTATATAGCTAGGGACTATCGTTCCCTAGTAGCGTGACCTATAGTGCGGAATAACGATCTAGGCTCAGATCCCCAAGGTAGCTTGTTGCAGCTCCTTATTGCCAATTAGATCGAGTCTATAACATTCACTCGTACGAACCGTATGTATGGAAAAGCCTCCGAAAGAATCGCCTCCAGTTGGGCTGGTAGGGCGGTGAGGTGTGATGTGGTGTGATGTGGTGTGTTGTGGTGTGATTTTCTGTGAGGCTTAAAGGTCTTGAACACTTGCAGTAAACAGGGTCGATGTCCATAACCCTTGGCGGACTGCGAGCAATACTCGATGTCGCGCCAAATCCATTTGCTGAAGGGTTCTTTGGCTAGGCTAGTCGGATTGCCCCCGCATACGGCATTGTGCGGCTGTAGCAGCATGCTATCGGGCCTCGTCGTTCGGGTTGCTAATGTCCACATTCATATCCAGATATGCATTTAATCTCCAACTACGTCCAATGATGCTGCCAAGACTTACATCTGCGTACTCGGCGACACGAATTAGTCTGTATCACGCTATAGGACCCACATTCGGCAGCCTAAATGTCCGGCGTTGTTACGTTTCCATCACGCGAACAGATGTTTCGATATGCGCGTATTACAGCACACTACATCACGATGTCGAAAGGTCGCCACTCTCGCGCTGCCTATGCTTTGGTGCATAAAGCCTATGGGAGGTTCATCTCAGGTTATCAATATTGGCAAATATTACACAATCTGCTTCATTCACGTACACAACCGACCTTTTCTTCCGTTACCCGAGGCATTAGGTAACCACATATCCAGCAATGTCTATGTACAATCCATACGAAGACAGCGACTATGCCGCGGAGGCTGGTCTTGAGAAGCCTCTCTAGCCAACCGAGCACTCATTAACGGGACCTATCCGCGAGCAAGAGAGTGCCTCTCTTACCTTAGCGCAGTCCTCGGAGCTCAACAGCGAAATTGAAGTTCCGAGTGGCGAGGTCCTGAAGTCAACCTCTAAGCCAAGCGTTTGCCTTTCCGCCTCTACTGATCACGGTCTGATGGATAGGGTCAGCGTCATTGAGTCGCGATTCAAGACCGCGGAGGCTGTTGCTGTGCCATTAGCTACGACCCATGCGCCTGCGGTTGTGGAGCATCAGAAGCATAGCACTTGGACGGATGGCTCGAGAATTGGCAGTCTACAAAGTAAGCAATTCGATTCGTGACAAGAACGGTGGCCGGCTGCTAATTCCTACATCCTTCGGTCTTAGTCCTCCTTTCGCTTTGTTATAGAACTGACAGAGATACATCTGCATCACGTTGCGAACACTGTCAAGGGCAAGCTACGCAGATGGATAGTCCTTCGGAGGAGGATGGTGGTCCACTCGTAAGATCACTATCCCGCAACAGCGTTGGAGGCGGAACAGACCCCGATGTTGCAGTTGCCGAGCAGAAGGGTTTAATGTGCCAGTTGCGTCGTCGAAGCTCGAGCTTGTATCGCTCTTTACGCCCGAAACACCACACGCCGAACGACGATGTAAGATGTAGTGTTGCGACAGCTGAGCTTGGAAACATTGGGCAAGGATCGCGTGGACGACGCCGGTCTAGCATCAGGGATTTCGTAGAGACTCATCTGCATCCTCAAGGACACCGGTTCGCCGAGACAAATGGGCTCTAGACGCGAGTCAGCATACATAGATAACAAGATGAAGGGTATCGACGCAGGGTCGCTCCGCATGAAAACGATGGTTCTGTACATGTAGTCCAAGATATGCTTCCTCATCACCTACAGATCAGCATTGCAGTCTCTATACGAAGCGGTGCGCTTATACAGTGATCTAGCCGGCCATTAGGTCGTCATCCCGAAAAGTTGTGATTCAGGTCGACCTTCGATTCTATACTTACCCAACGAACAGCACAAGTGTCTTCGCTCAATCCGCGCGCCTATCGCGTCTCTGCTTCTACATCGTCTAGAGAATCTCACCGTGTGCTACAAGGTAAGCATGATTTAGATAATGCTAGGGTGACTTCAGACTAGGATTGACGCCTGCATCTCGTGCGGTGCACTGGCCCAGGTGACTAGAGGTCTGAGGGGCAAAACATTTCACAGCCGCCTAACCGTTTCTCGAGTGGCGTGATGCACGTACCACGTGGTCTTATACCTCTGAGTTTTGCTCCTTCTCCCATCTTCTGTTGGCCTGCGGCGGAAGACAGCACGTCATCCAAGGTGGCGGAGCTAGCGATTCTATCAGTAGTGTGTGATACACGTGAGCCTCGCCTGAGAGCTAGGGACATGTTTGCCCATGCTGGACGCTATCGGCTCACGTTTACCGCGTGGACATGATGCCGCCGTGACTCCGCCAAACGCCATATATTAAGGAGTGCGGACGCATGATGGGGCGACTTTGGACAGTCTCCAGACGATGCGCAAGCAGTTTAATTTTTACTTCATCAACTCAAACAAGAAAACAATATCGGGAAGTACTAGGCAAGCAATCATGGGGTCTCCGCCAGAGTATATGAGACGCCTTAGCAGTACCATGTTTATTGGGCAGCCACCTTTCGGCTTCGAAGGCACCGATGATTGTCCCGGTGACACGTACAAGAAATTCTTGCCGCCAAGCACACCACCGCCTGACATGCTCTACCACGAGCGGGGACACACCCCGTATGCGGACTGTACCTCAAGCAGCGCTGTCCCCCAGCATGCTTGGCCTTCTCCTACAGATTTGAAGCCTGTCGACACCGTCCCGGCACTCTTCTCGTCACCGCATGTGGTCTCTCCGCTAAGGACCAGTGGAGATGGCACTGACATGCCGAACATCAGCCGCCTCAACCTCGGCGTCAGCGATGCTACATACACGGATGTGGACGCTATGAGACGAGGTGTTGACCGATCGAACGGTGAGTTGCTGCTAGATAAATGACACGTAGCTGAATTATGCTGACATGATTCACTTAGTGAAAGTCGACCTTGCATGTTCTCCTCTTCGTCTGCAGACTGAGCTCGAGCTGCGCAAGATCAAGAGTCAGACGGGCCTCACCGGCGAGTGCACCCCTCCAGTGCCTAAGGAACAACTGTACCGCTGCCAGAGTATACTACGCTGTCCGGAATGCGGCTGCACTCTGGAATGGCACTTCGTGGACCGAGCTATGAGCGGTAAACATGAAATATATCGATGCCAGACACGGTGCACCTGCAACACCTCTGCCGATAGATCTGAACCTTCGGAGGCCCACCGTCCGTATTGCGTTCCTCGGGGCTCATGGTGATTTTAGAGTCCAGAGAGTAGATTAGTGCTACTGCGATTTTCTTGACGAACTGTAGCCCATCGATATTATCGGAGCTTTAGAGCATAAAAGAGCGCGCTCCAGGATGGGACTCGATCATATACATATATGATTACGCTGATATCCCTCCTTTTTCCCGACATTCAGTCCGTGTCCTCACATCCTTCCGTCGTGATGCTTGGCGACTGACTGCACAACGGGCGGGTGGCTGCCTCATTCTGCAATATATCATCCCGCTATCTCTCCTGCACATTCAGCGTACTAGACTGCACAAAAAGCTTGAGATCGAGCTTTTCGAGGTTTGAGGCAGACTGCGTGCCCCTCAGCAACGCCTACCTTACGTTAGCAATCGTTTCGAGTGACCAATTTTCTAGCACACTTCGCTCAAATGGTTACATGTGATCGATTATCATAATTGCTGTTGGGCTGAGTCTCCATCATGACATAGCAGTACATGTCACATTTGGCACGCGCCTATGTCCACGTCGAGCTATTAGTCTCGTGTACAATCGTAGCAGACAGCACTGTCCGATCTCCTCGCCACTGCGACATGGATTCATTGTGGGGGTTGTCCTTATGGCTGGCTATTAAATTCAACATCATGACTCTATATTACGGTGCAACACAATCATCTCTGCACCTCTACAAAGTTAAAGCTATGTCTATCTGCCTCCTTCCATACGTTCCAGCTTCTGCACCAACTCTATTGCGCACACTCGCTTCCACAGATTTGAATCATGTTGGAACTCCTTCCAATGACACTCGGGACTGCCCGTTACAGACAGTTCTATTTATCGTTTTTGCAAGTATTGCAATCCTTCTAAGCGCCATGATCCATTCGACGTTGTGAGTGCATTAGTCATGCTGGCCATTATGCAAGGAGTACGGATATTGAGGGGACTAGGTCGAGAAGGACCCGCAGAATACCAGTGGACGCGGCGACGGTAGAAGACGGCTTACAATCGTTTCCCAGTCAGAGTCGACCGTGCCCGGGGCTCTCAAAAGAGATAGTAATCGAAGCGATTGATGAAACATTCGTCGAGTGGGCTGAGAGAATTGGAGCAGTTGAACATAAAAGGCTCCCAACGAATCCGTTCTGGTGAGGTTTACCGTTGCGTTATTCACAATTGGTAAAGAAATACACTGACTTCGAGCCTCCCAGTGTAATCTGTCTTGACACGATCGCAAATTCCGACCGCATAGCTGGGTTGCAATGTTTGCACTTCTTTCACCAGCATTGTTTCGCTCAAGTCTGCTCTACACGATTTTGGAGGTGCCCGATCTGCCGAAGATCGATGGTCATGTTAGAGCACACCGACATCAAGACTGAAATATCTCCGCTACTTGATAGCTCTCGGGTACAAGCAGCACAATACAGCTTCTTATACAACAACTGGTTGGCCACTTGAGCTCTTTGCCGAAACTCGTGTTTGCAGTGTTCGGAACAATTGAATGGGTGTGACATTAAGCTTCGAACACATATTTTACATTTCTCCATCTGATTTTGCCGGTAAGCCCCAACGAAAAGATATGCAGATCAACCCTACTAAAGACTCTCGGCGTATTGTACTACCTAGCGAATCTAGGGAGTGGAACTCGCCTTTTCTCGACTGCCCAGCAACAACCCGGGCTACAGTCATGCAGCAACCTTGCACTCCCGCTGTCTACTGATGACCGCGCACGGATCGTCTTGCGCGAACATTGGCAGGAATTGGGAGTCTTGTTGAACTAGGTAGTCGTCCCGGCGGACAAGCTTCTGTAGACCATTGATTTGTTCTTTTAATGATTTCACGAAAGCAGTCGTCTGCACATCCTGCATTTCAAGTCGTTCGATATATCTAGAGGTAGAGGCGATGACAAGAGCCTTTGATGGACCTGTAATAGCTTGGAAGTTGACGTCATTAACGTCGAGTGAGCACGCGACACTATCCCGCAAAGTTGGTAGTTTTGAAGGGAGTGTTTTAATCTGCGAGTTGAGATTGTCGCGGTAACGCCGCTCGAAAACCCTGTGGAGCAAGCGTGGCGGCCGATTGGCTGCTCGTGTGGAAGCTCTTCGTTCAACCGATGGGCGGCGAGCTACGGCTCTCCGACTAGCTGGATCTGCTGTCACATAAGTGTCGACCTAGGGCCCCAACGGAATCGCTTCTGGCATGGTGTCGGCCATTAGCTGATCAAGCTCTTCGGAGGTTATAGGAGCGTCATTGTCGAGAGAAGACTGCTGGCCGGGCTCCAAGCCTTAGGAGTACGTTGAGGAGGTGTCGGAAGATTGTCGAGAGACTGGAGGCGGCAGGGTCATAGGAGGAGTCTTTACCGCGAGCAACGGACTCTGGTACGAATCGCTCCCAGGTAAGGGTGTGGTGCGCCAGGAACGATCGAACGCACTTGGTATCGTATCTGCAGGTATGCTGTTGTGGCTCTCTCGGTGATGAGAGTGTCCGTTGCGTGGCAAGGTGATAGCTTGAGCCAATGTTAGCCAATACGGCATAAAATAGCTGAAGTTGACTTACCTCGAATCGTGTCCTTCTGGTAGAAGCCAAAATTTACTACACAGGTCGGCTTGTTGTTGGTGAACATGTTTCTCATCGTTGATTTGGCGGCGGCGGCGCACGCAACAAAGATTGAAGTTGAACGGGCGTTGATGACAGGAGCGATAGTCTTACAGCTTTGTGGTTATGTGATTGTGTATCACGAATATTGAGAGCCAAAGCACTTGGTGGTAATGTAGTTCGGGTGGTCTCGTTGCAGAGGGGCAGATTTGGTCCGGCCCGAGCCGTTGTGACACAGCCTAGCCCTTCGGCGTGCTCCGCGACGTGCTTGGCATCATACTTGGCAGCATTGGATAAGAACGTGTACGTGCATCCCCGGGAACACCGCTCCAGGACCCTTACCGTTAGCAACGCCACGTCTCAAGGTTGTTATGCAAGGTGGAGAAGGAAGGTGCACGCAACATCTTGCCACCATTCCGTCATCGCGACGGCTGCGTGGACAATCTGTCTAAGCTTTACACAAATCTGATGGAGAACTGTGACTCACAAACGGACACGCCCGTTGAGATTGTCTCGTCTGCGCCGCAACCCACGTGTCTATGAATCGGACTTCGAAACGCTGGGAGCGTTCGCTCGTTCTGGCCACAACTTGGCGGTCGGCTCGGTGTGAAGAGCGAGGTGAGGTCGCCACTAGCTGCCAGGGCTGTGAACGTCCCAGTGCGACTGGAGTTCGACGTCGAGCTTGTAAAGGTTACACGGCTATGCGAGCTATGCGGCACACTCCAGGCAGACCGCCAAGGTCGACACCCAAGGCCATTGTGCGTGACATGGCGCCACGTGGACGAGACATGCGTGACATGGCGCCACGTGGACGAGACATGGATGGTATCGATGGCGTGGTCGTGTATCTGAAGGGGTTCTTGTGGTAGCTACGCTTCACTACTTAAATAGAGAAGGCGTAGACCACCAAACGCTCACATCCCATATCAGTAATTGTATTCCTTTGCAAACCTACCAAGTTCATTCAGTACTACCAGAAACCGCCGCCACATTAGCAACACCCGCCCGAAATGGCCGGCTACCCAATCTTCGCCGACTACGGACCTGAGGGCCCGACTGTCGATCACATGCACGAGCGCCTCCACCAGCACAACAGCTTCCTGGATGTGCTCGCACGCCGCAAGCCCAACCCTATAGCGCACCCCAACCAGCCCGATGTCGACTTCAGCGACGTTACGAGTGCCTACCTTATTGACCTCGAGGTCCCTGGCTTAAAGGACCCGAATGCGCTCGCCATCCAATGGTTAAGCTGGCGTCACCTCGTCATCACTGGCACGACTACGCGTCCCTTACATTTCAAGGGCGCCTACGCCAATGATCCTGCTGCTCCGCTAAGCACGTACCATGGCGCAAACGGTACAACCATCAATCGTAAGGGTGCGCAAAACGGTGACGGAGACGGCCAGTCTCTGTACGCCGCCGTCGGCAAGGACAGCAAGCTGATGCGACAGGAAGCAGAAGACGGTAGCGACCTGCCGCCTTGGCTCATCATTGCCGAGCGCCGCATCGGCGCCTTTCGCCGCGAATTCCGCTTCCCAGTCGATGTGGATATGGAGAAGCTCGATGCCCGACTCGACGCCGGCTTGCTGCACGTCGTAGTGCCGAAAAAGGAGCACTGTTATCCCAAAAGCACCGGCAAAGTGAAGATTGTGGCAGGAGAATAATACGACGCCAGTGCAGGCGATGAGTTCGCATATGGCTGAGTGGATCCAATCTAGGGAGAAGGAAATAGCAGATGCGAGCAAGGAGGGGTGAAAACTGAAACAGTTATACAAACATGAAAGCGAGCCCAGATTTGTTTATAGCACATAATATATAGATGATCACACCATCGTCGACGGTTGCATGCTTGGCAAGCGTCCCACAGGTTATAGCAGAAAAGCGTGCCATCGATGAAGCATACTGACGTGTATGCAATCATGCGATAGAAGGGGTCGTGATATGCTCCGATCAGCTGAAGCGAGCTAGTAGGGCAGCGAAGCTTGACAAGGGAGAGAGAAACCTAATGAACATAGGTGAGCGTTAACGCAAGCCAGCTACGTTTAAGCCAAATCGCCTCATAACAAATTCGCTTTTGCTCCTTGCCATCTCGCGCTTCATTCATGCAATGTAGTCCGTTTGTTCTACTCGGTAAGCAGACCGGGAAGGATTGAACGGCCGTGCACCGCGTCAGTCCATTTAGCTACAGTAGTACGTACAGTTGCTAAGAAGACTATAGAGCGATCAGTTACGACTCGGTTGAGAGAAAAAACTCTTGTAGCGATGCCAATCAGGACACTAACAGCTTGAGTAGACTTCTAGCTATACTTCATTCTGTCGAAAACTACCTCGACTTGATCCAATATCTTCGCAGCGAAACACTCGTCCTAAAAGTCGGCGTAGCTTTCTCGCTGAAATGTGCCACCTGGTAGCCCGGCTGGTAAAGCTCTTAGTAGCTAATTAGCAATCGTTGGGATCGCAACGCTGTTTCGCCACGTGAGACAATGTTTGTAGTCACCGCCACCGCGAGACGACCGGAAACTCACTTAAGTGCACCTTTCCTGTCCAGAGTAACTTACTACATGAGACTTCGACTTTAATGGTTCTACAACGCCCTCCATTTCTCAGTAGCATTCAACCTCCTCCTCCAGCACGAAGCTGTACCTATGGAGCATTTTCTTGGCCAAAAGCTGTCATCTCTGGCCATTAGCGATGACTGTTGGCGACAATGTCTTTGATCGGTCTCTGAATGGCCGTTAGGCAATGTGTGCTGTGCTGGAAGCATGCTTGCCTACCACAGTGCGACCAGCGAAGATCGAGAAGACGGCCATGGAATATGTACTGGCTAGTAACTACGTATTGCAGTGACATACAGATCTTCAGCACTCTACACTTCGCCATGTTCTCGTCTATACTGACCACTGCGACAGCTTTCGCGCTTCTTCTTGGATCAGCCTACGGAGCCTTCAATGGGTCGGTCAACAATAATGCTGTATACTGGGGACAGAACTCCTACGGGCAAGGCACTGGCGATCTGGCTCAGAAACCTCTGGCATCATACTGCGCAGACACAAATTTCGACGTGATACTAATGGCCTTCCTTTATCAGATGACGACCGGACACGGTGGCGAGCCTGTTATCAACCTCGCTAATCAAGGCAACAACTGCACGCTATTCAACGGCACGCAGCTTATGAACTGTCCACAGATCGGCGAGACATCACAACCTGCCAGCAACAGTATGGCAAGACCATCCTACTATCGATCGGGGGAGCCACTTATACCTAAGGAGGCTTTACGACCGCCGATCAAGCAACGAGTATGGCGAACTTGATCTGGGCGACATTTGGCCCTGTCTCAAGTACGACCTCTGCAGTAGATCGACCATTCGGCAGTGCTGTGGTAGACGGCTTTAACTTCGACTTCGAGAACACTGTCAACAACATGATCAGTTTCGGCCAAACTTTGCGCTCGCTTATGGACGCCGACACAAGCAAGAAGTACTACCTTACAGCAGCACCACAATGTCCCTATCCAGACGCCGCCGACGGTGTTATGCTCAACAACACCGTCAGCTTCGATGCCGTGTTCGTGCAATACTACAATAATTTCTGCGGCATACAGTCCTACGTCGCGAATGCCACCACCCAGAACAACTTCAACTTCGATGTATGGGACACCTGGGCCAAGACGGAAAGTAAGAACTCGAACGTCAAGGTCCTACTCGGTGTTCCAGCAGGCCCAAGTGCGGCTGGTAGTGGTTACTTACCAACCAGCCAGTTGACGCCGGTCATCCAGTACTGTCAAACGTTCCCAAGCTTTGGCGGCGTTATGATGTGAGACATGAGCCAAGCATATGCAACCAGTGGATTTATGCCTGGAGTGAAAAGTGCGCTGATTACAACGAAGAAGATGACGATTCGTGGGGTGAGCTAGCGTTCATAAGAGAGCCGTCAGGTTCGTGGCAAGGTCTACTACACTGCAAGGACAGGTGTTGTGTGAGGCCCAACTCAACTTCAAGAAAAGTCGACCAGGATCGCAACAGCTGCACAATGTGCCGGGAAATGACAGTAACCAAGCATGGTAGGAAAATAGAGGCGAGGGTACTTTCTTCTGGAAAGTGCAGGAAGATATATTGGATTGCGACGGTTCACAGATCGTGCCACATCAAGGCGCAATAGCTGATGGCACAGTGCTTCATGACCACGATTCACCATGTCTAGCATGCATATGCAGCCGGGTGCACTAGTGTAGGCCTCGCCTCGCGTATGTACGACCCTTGTTTGTGACCTCCTACGCTTCGTGGGTTTGCGTCTTGATCCTAGTACTTCTTGTGCCTCTATCCAAGTCACTTACTATAGACAGTTCGAGCACGAAGCATAGAAAAGTTGATCGCAACATGGTGTCAGCAAGCACCATGGCGTCTGCATTGCGCTCGCTGCATACTGTATCTGGCACCTCTGGAAGCGTCTTATTGAACGACATACTCTGCGTGATGTCTTATACGCTTACTGGTCAGTACCATACAGCGGCACATGGATGTGGTACCAGCACTAGACGGATCGAAACGCAACGGCTGTCCATCGTGCTCATCTTCGGCTTGGTCCCGTCGTGTGACTTGGACCTAAGGAGCTCTCCATCAACAGTGTTGAAGGAGGACTGGACACTATATACAGTTTCAAGGCAGCGCTGCCGAAGATCGACTAGTAATGATGTGGCCAAGAGTTACGGCCAAGCACCAATGGTCGCCATCCACGACGAAGGTCCGCACAGCGCCAGAAGAAGGCTACTTACACGACCGTACCTGAAAAGTACAATCCGAAGCAATAAGCGGTAGATCAATGCACAGCATTGGTTTAGCCAAGACGAGGGATGCAAAGGCGCCGGTCTCATTGGACGACAACGGATGTAAAGCGGGCGTTAATTCGCTGCTCTTCTACACCTCGGCAATTCCGCACATGCAGCGGCCGCAATGCTACCTTAGCATGGCCGGGGCAGCGTTGCTTGCCATCGTAACGATGTACGCAAATTTGGGCGCCGAGGCCGACAGCATTAGAGTGCTAAAGGGTGCTGAAGCCTACTGGACACGATAGCATCTAGAAGAATACTACTATAAGTGCGAGACTTGCTAATATCCTAGACTCATTCCGTCCCTTAATTGGTCTTGAGGTCTTAGGGTAAGCCTTTCGGGAACTGTTCCCTACTACTGCACTAGAACATCTGCTTTCGAGGCTAACAATTGTATTTCTTTAGCTATACTAGTCGCATGCTACCACGCTCCTCGAGATACTTAGTAAGCCTGCTGCTCGATAGTCTCCTATAATCCTTTATATACGCAACGTTTCGAGCATTTTTCGAGATCGTGTTTATTATCTACTAGATAACTAATAAATACCTAACTAAGGGTAGTGCTATATTTAGAATAATATATAATAGCGCCGCCGAGCGGCGGTTCTATTCTAGAATCTAAAGGACTTATAGATATAGTAGACGGTACCTAAGTATTATCTTTATTATTATATATAAGCTCGGGTATCTATAGAATAAAGGCGGTAAAGTAGTCTTCTAGAGGATCTTCTATTCGATAGGTTAGCTCTCTTAACGCTTAGCTTACTATAATTAGATACTAACCTTTAAAAATTAGCTATATTCTTTTTTAAGATACTAGTCTATCTATATTACTTCTACTAAGAGATATTTAGGCTATATCCAGAAGGTTGTTAAAGTATTTAATAAAGTAAGAGCTAAGCCTTAAGGATAAGAAAAGAGCTAGAACGACGTTAGTTAATCTTTCTTAAGTACTCTTAACTTTAGAGTAGTCTTATAAGTCTATTATAGGAGTATATATAAGGTATCGTACTATATCTATAGTATCCTATACGTAACCGTAGGGGGACCGTAGGCTATCTATAGTTAGCCTAGGTTACGTAATATATTCTAGCTCCCTATAGAGGGTCCGTAGGGTATCTAAGGCGGATACCTAATAGAATATATTAGCTCCTATATTAAGCGAGAGGGCTTAGGAGAGGAGATAGAAGAAAAGGAAGTACGAACTTCCTTCTCCTCTACTCCTTAAGTTTACTATTATTACTATTATACTAGATATTGCGTACGTACCGCTAGCGTAGCTAGGGTACGTATAGCGTACGCTCTTCGATTTATCTCTACCCTCTTCCTTACTATAACCCCTTCGTCGTAGCTATATCCCCTACGTAACTACGCTAGAAACCTTATAGGAGGCTTCCGCTCCTATAACTAATATAACTAATACTCCTTTAATTAGTTAGATTAGACGCTACTAACTAAACTAACCGCGCTATAATTAGATAGATTAGTCGATATACGAATTTCCTATATATATAGAGGGACGCTTTTTTATATAGGTAGTTTATATTTAACCTAAGTTACTAACCTACTAAAAGGTTAAATCTTAGAGTAGTTACTTACCTAACCTATTACTTAGAACTTACTCGTCTAACGAGCTCTAACCCCCTTATACGCTAGGTACGTAATACTTATATATAATAATAAGTATAATAGTCTAATACCGTCTATTAAGTCTACAAGTTCTTTATATTCTAGAAAAAGACCTTCGCTTAGTAATACTATCTTCAACTATCCTATATATAGTACCGGACTTAATTACGTCTTTGTCGATCGTATAGTAGACAAGGAATATAACCTTAAGAGGTACTCGAAACGTTATACGTATAAAGAGTAGTAGAGTATTATTAAGCAGCAGGCTTACTAGATATCGCGAGGAGCGTACTAGTATTATATTTAGCATCGCTAAAGAAATGCAACCCTTGTGTCGAAAGAAGATGTCCTAATGTGACTTCAGATTGAGTAGTGAATCTTGCAAGGCATCTCAGACCTCCGTGCCAATCGGACCCTTCTCCATAACCGTGGAGCTTCGGCCGATTCATTGAGAGGACGGCTGGGCGAACGTGGCCGAGAGGTAGCATATCAGCAGGTCTTGCAATCACAGTAGTGTCCCCGTCTAGTTGCTCACAAGGCCATGAACGCTGAATACGTCCATTGAACGGGACGTCTCAGAGAAAGTGAAGTCGACGGAGGAGAGCGCCATAAAAGACTGGGCCTCGCCAAGTTGCGGGTCAAGACTGCCAAGAGACACTAGCCTCCACTCCAGGGTCCGACCTAACCTCGTGGCAGAGCTCTACAATTGCCCTACACCTCACCCCATCTCACATCCCACCAGGACTGTGGACACGCTGTATCCTCCATACAGTGCTCCTTTACATCCGCTCTGTCTTGAGGGAAAGACTGTGCGCACTCTCGTCTCATGCCCTCAATCGAAGCTAAGCGCGACAATTCACGGCCCAAAACTGCCCTGACGCGGCTTCCGCCTACATAATGCCCGCTATCGCACGGAGGCTTCTATGCCCTGAAAGATCACGAAAAGCAGCTGCTAAGCGGGGTGCGGGCTGTATCTCCGTGTAGATCATTCAGTCATCTCCCCTGCCGTGTGACAGTCCAGGCCTTTAATAATCCTGCTGGCCCGCTCAGATTCCCACCTCCGAACAACAACCCAAGACGACCAAATTACCGACCTTGCCGCAATAGCACGGCTCAAGTCCTAAGCCAACGACGTTTATAGCGATGATCGTTGACACTCCAGCAATGACCCGTCGCCAGGAGGGGAACCGTCTTAACGGTGTTTGTGAACCAGCAAGCTACGAGTCCTGGGACAGTATGTCGACCGATCCTCATTGAGAATGTCTGCACATCACTAACGTTCATCGAATAGGCCTGGCCTGGCCTGTGCCACCTGCTGGTGATAGTCGAGTGGCGAGGGACGCCATTGAGGTCGCCCACAGCAGAAAATTGACCACGGAGGTGGCAGAGCCTTTCAAATGGAGCGAGCAGTATCCAATGGCAACATCCTCACTGGGACCTGGAATGGCTCCAAATCAGTCCACCGTCTGGCGGTCATGCACCTCCTGCGCTGTGGTTACGAAAGTTCCATCCATCACTCAGTTTGCGGCCAAGTCACCAAATCCTGAGCAATACCAGGAATATCCATTTGCTTCGAATGCCAACTCTTTGAGTCAGCATGGATTCAGTCCACCTAGACGTCCGGCATCACCTAGGGACTTCGAGCCAAAATCAGAAGCGGAGGATGAGCTGCAAAGAGCAGAGGCGCAGTATTATCTCGCAAAAGAGAAAGCGACGGCGGCATTAAAACATCAGTCGGAGTCAAAGCAACACAATTCCGCCACGCCACGATCCCTTCGGGTGCCCCACAAAGTCATCGAACGTCGCTATCGCCACAACCTGAAATCTAACCTTGACGTGCTTAGTGCCAAGCTGCCGACTCTGAACAACTTCTGCGATAGCACACTTGGCCTCGAGGACTCCAACCGGTATTTGAAGGCCCCTTCCAAGGCTACGGTCATTACCGCGGCGGTGAAGTATATCGAGGAGCTAGAGACTAAGGCCGTGGCCAGGGACGAATTCACCGTGCGAAGGACCGAATTCATTTCGTCTTTGCAGCTCCAGGTAAGTACTAATGCGTGAAAGAATTCCCTGCGACTGCATCGGGCATTGTGGCAGCGTGCAGCGCTCTGGAGTCACATGAGCGAGACCTTAGCTCCGAATTATGCTGACACTTTGCCTCTTGGCTCTTCAGATACAAGGCCTTCAGAAGCTCGTCAAATGCGAGGATTGCTCCATTGTGCAATATCTTCAGTCGCTACCAATGCCGTCTCCAGATCAAAACATGGTGCCGAATGTTCAAAGATCCTGAAGTTTGGCTGTCTCGGATAGGGATGGTGTGCTGGGGCCATATTTTCTTATCGCGAAGCATGTTCTCGTTCGTAGCACATCAATAGCTGAGGGCATAGCACGTATGTTCGATGGCCCAATTGCAATCTGGACGATCTTGCTGGACAGGAAGTGTACCACAATGATTTTGTTCTGGGTGCTGGAACTGCTTTTGGGTGAAAGACAATAAAGCTTGACGAAGGTAAGGGCTTTGCTACCGAGCCTATGGTTCCACGCCTCATCTCAGACATAGCACCGTTCATATAGAGATGGAAGCGGTCTCCTACAACACAACCGTCTGCGTCGTCCCTGTCGCTAATATCAATCACCATGCCGCCTCTCAAACTCGAAGCGTTCGCCGACGCTGACCTTGTTAGCCACAGTATCCTGCACAACTCATTGCAGTCTGCGCTGAATGTTGGAATCTATGGCTTGCAGATCCGGAGCGATGAAAGCACAATTGAGCACGATTACTTCCGCATCGGACGCTTGTGTACAGTGGTGGAATTGGCGTTGGGGCTATGGTTCCTGGATTTAGTAGTACACATATCGAACCCATCGTCCGCTAACAGTCTTAGTAGGTCCACTCGCGAGTGCGAGAATGCCACAGTCCTATCAGAGGAAGCTCGTACAAGTCACGAGACACATGCGCATCGAACGTTACCCATCCTGGAGTAGAAACCACGCCAACCATTCTTTGCTTAGGCAGCTAGAGCGATGGCGTCCAACCCTGGTAGGGTGCTTGTAGATCTCCTGTGGTAGGAATGTGCCACCACCTTACGCAGCGGGCTGACCTTAAGTCTCATAATGTCATATGCTTTGGTGCAGTAGATGAGGATGATGCCATTTCTGGACTCCCTTGTTTGCACTTTTTCCACAGCACATCCTTTTTCAGACACTGTGGCGCGGGTCTAGTTCGATGTCGGATGTGCCAAAGGCCCATATCCACCAGTTCAATATGGCATCTCTCATCCCAGAGTTCCCTGCCGCCGCAGAAGTCCTACGCTCCCGATTTGCTCACAACTTCAGCGACACCTTCGGCCAGCACGTTTTCCACAGCCACAACGCCCAGCAAGCCCCCTCCTTCGACATCAGCGAAACGGATTCAGCCTACCTCCTAGACGGCGACTTTCCTGGCCTCTGCAAGAAATCCAACATCAGACTCCGCTGGGCTGAGAAGCGGACCCTCGTCGTTAAAGCGCACGTCCCGAGACCCGACTACAAGGCGCTGTGGCAGACGTCCTTCGGGCATAAGATCGAGAGGATCCAGAATTCCGGAGATGGTGCTGCTAGTGGTGTGCACGTCGATGGCAACGGGAAGGGTGCGCATGGCGTTGCGCCTGGATTCAGCGATCTCGTTCTTACGCCGGGGAGACGGGAGTCCGGGAGTGGGTTAGAGAGAGGCATACCGGGCAGCTCTACCGGACTTTCACGTTCCCAGACGATGTCGAGACGGGGAGTGTAAAGGCGATTTTGCATCAGGCGCAGTTGAATTTGATGATCACGAATTCGGAGCCGGTGCATTCTGGGAATCGCGAGATCTTTATTGGTGACATTTGAGAGCGGCTTGCACCGACTTCGAGTATGAGGATGTCTGCGATGTTTCGTAGACATGGCCGTAATTATGATAGCAATACAATCGATAATCGCTCGAGAGTCTTTGCGATAGTTCATTGTGTCATTCAACAAGCAGTTACCTAAATGCTCGACTATATTATACAAAGTACTAAACTTGGGCTCGTGCGGCACGACCACCTCAGAGATAAGTGAAAGCATCGTGTGTTGCTGCTCAGGGATCGGCCAGGTGACGGCGACCATGCGTTGGCTTCACAAGCTATGAATTGCATACGGACGAACACAGGAACAGGCACGACTTGCATATGCTACCGCGTAGGCCCTTGTTCCCCAGGATGATGAGCAGAGCCACAGTTGAGGTACGTGATATGCTTGCATGAGCTTTAGATACCATGCAAGCATCACATTCATCGTTCAATCGTTGTGATTATTATTACGACTCTATGTGCGCTGACCACCCCCATACCACTCCTACCTCTTGATCTTCTTCCATCTTCCACAGCATCAACCAATCACACTGCCAAACGCTCCCTACCACTAGCAGCAGTCTGATACCTCATCTCCGTCGCACCACCCGGTGGAGTCTTGGGTGCAGGGACGAACTAGAACCGTAAGTCAGCTTTTACTTCGGACATTGAGCCATTGTGGCCGAACTTACATAGCAGAACTGCTGCAGTAGTCTACGATACTGATCCGGCCCCATGGCTGGTCTATTGACAGGACACGAGGTGGATGCAAGAGATGAGACAGTGCGCCGCGCGGGATTCGTTTTGCGATTGGTTACGATATAGGTTGGTCGTTGGGTCGGCATAGAGTCTGGGCCATCTGGGGACGTTGGAAGGGATGGAGCGCGTGGCGCGTCGACCAAGGCGTTCTTGATTGAGTCGGTGATCGGCGCCTGGGTGTGGACTTTGCCATTGCTAAATAGCCTTGCCTCTGGCGATGACTCTGAGTTTCTACATGCCGCGTCGAGGTCACTTGTCGAAGCGCTCTTCGCGACGAGCTCGCCCAATACAAAAGACAGCGAACCCCGACGATGTTGGGTGGCTTTGACTAATTGAGTAACAGGCTCGAGAGTGTCTAGTCTAATGGGTGGGGGTGGCTGATGTGTACTCTCTTTCAGATCAACCCGGTAGTTGATGTTGTCGTTGTTGTCCCAGAACTCCTCTCCACCAGCATTGTATTTGATGCAGAGCAGCAGAACCTTCCTCTCGGTGTTTGCGTAATGTGGCAGCTTGATATCGAAAGTGAAGCGATCGCCTCGATCGGATAGCGGGTTCTTGACGCTGTTGTAGTATTCCGCCTCGACTTCAGATACGGTCGTCCAGCCGTCCATTGTGAAGCGTATCGCTACGCGCTTGTGGAAGCAGAGATTACGCACAGTACAGGTTCCATTTAGTGCTTGCTGGTCTGGGGACAGGATCAGATGCTCCAGCTGGACGGCTTTGGCATCCTGCTCATAGGTTTCTATTGCGCCAAAAGAGTGCAGCATCCGAAGACTCGTATCTTCAGATGTATCTCTCCTTGAAGGATCGACCACGGCGGCGTTGGGTGTGTCGCCTCGCAAGAAGTGTCTTGTCTCATTCGTATCATCGCTGAAGTGGACAGACTTTGAACAGGTGCTTATCTCTGGCATGGTGTGGTATTTCCTGCGCGAGTACGGTCGCTGGGCCGGCTTGACCACCTGGCCAGACATCTTTCTCACGAGCGGTGGTTTCGAGAACTGTTCGGGCTCGCTGTTCGAGGGTGGCATCGACGACACTGGAGGCGAGACATGTTCCGATATTACGACAGCTGGGTCTGAAGAAGCTCGCTGGAGAGCTGCATTGCGCATAGCGTGAAGCATTGCAGGTACTTTCTTGAGGCAACGGGTTGGTCGAATGGTATCGAGCTGGCACTGAGGGCTGTAGCCAGATATACTTGACATGCAGCACTACTGCATTCCAACTTCGCACAAGTGATCGAAGAGCGGGTTTGTAAGGCAGCAAGCATCACCAGCGACCACACCACTGACACCGACACCACCGCTGCCAAGTCGTGGATAATTAGCCCATACTTGAGTGCGTTGTGCCATTCATGCCAGGTACAGGCACATGGTGTGAGCTGTCACGCCACTTTCCACTGGGCTCCATAGTAAATGTCGGCGGACTTCCGAGCTCTGGAAATGCAAGGAACCATCTTGCGCGTCTTGTCATTAGCGTTTTGACCGGTGCACACAACATGGGGGTTGCCGGAGTGGTGTGATGATGGAGTATTGTCGAAGGACATGCTGTACAAGGATCGAGTGAAGTAATAGACATGCCTGCTGTGATTAGCTGTCTCACGCTCAACGCTTAGGCCGGTCCCCTCGGAAGGTGAATCTTGATGTGAATTCTGGTCGTGACGTCACTACGATTTCGGCTCAGAACTGACCAGTAGCACGATAATAATCATTGACATGTAATACGATGTTATCCGCCTTCTACCTACGATCCAATACCTACTAATCTCCGATATCAACCTCCGCCGCGATAAGGGGCCAAATCATATTAATCGCCTATCTACTTTAACGACGACTATAACGACGAGGATACTTTACCTTACCCTACTAAGCCTCTACGCTCCGATATCCTAGCTCTAGACTTTAGTTAAGTATCCTATAACTTATATAACTTAGAATCCTAGATACTAAGAGATATCTATTTTGATACTTTATTATCTACTTCTTACCCCTCTAACCTTTTAGTTATACGTTAGGGTTTTATAAATACTTAGGTCGTTATAGACTAGAGTATTATAAGTACTATATTTAGAAAAAGATCTTATAGTAACTCGCTAGTTAAAGTATTATAGGGCTATTCTATACTATATAAGATACTCTCCTAGCGTATACCCGCGTAGATAGAGTACTTTATCTTATGTAATAGAGTACTATAGGTACTCTTACGCTCTCTATAATAGAGTATAAAAGAGCGATAGCGTACGTACGAATCTTCTTTATATATAGTAGTAGTCTTATACTAAGTAGTTAGGAGCTTTATACTTAACCTTAAGTATAGAAGTTAGCGATAGGTTTTATCTACTATTAATTAGTTACGCTACTATCTACGCCTTAAATTATCTACGCCTAGTTACCTTCCTACTCTATTAGTAACCCCTTATAATATTTTAAGTACTACTTCTAGAGAAGTATTAGAGGATACTTAAGATTACTAATATTAGCGTATATCTAGTACTATATTGGGAAGTAGCGTTAAATTAGAGGTTTAGACGCTATTACCTAACGAAAATAGTCGACTTAGTTACTAGCTAGATTAAGTAGGTATATATAGCTAATATATCTATTATAGGATCTACTATAGGAGCTACTAGGTTAATAGGATCTAAGGCTAATAAACCCTAGGAATTTACTAGTAACTAGCAATAGTTTAAGACGTTTAAGATATAGTACTTACTTACGTTTAAGATATATTATAACTAGTTTAGTACTTAGATAAAAAGACTAATATTTATCTCTTTCTACCTTCAAAAACTAGCTACTAAGTAGATCTAGCTTTATCTTAAGAATTACTTAGGTAATAACTAACCTTTAGACTATCGTATTACGACTCCTAAGATCTTCTCTATAGAAATAACGAGACTTACTAAAATTAGAGAGACCTTTAGTTAGAGTAATAATCGCTTTAAAGCTTAACGAGATCTATAATAGTATAGATAAAGAAACTCTACTACTAAGTATAAGATAGAGTTTTAGACTCTTATAATTATATACCTATAGTATAAGGGGGTTAGAGCTCCTTAGACGAGTAAGTTCTAAGCGATAGGTTAGGTAAGTAACTACTCTAGGGTTTAACCTTTTAGTAGGTTAGTAACTTAGGTTAAATACAAACTATATATATAAGAAATACCTATTCTATATATATAGGAGATTCGTATCTCGACTAATCTAACTAATCGTAGCGTCGTTAGTTTAGTTAGTATTATATACTATAAGGTTTCCGGCGTAGTTACGTAGGGGATACGGCTACGACGAAGGGGTTATAGTAAGGAAGAGGGTAGGGATAAATCGAAGAGCGTACTCGCCGTACGTACCCTAGCTACGCTAGCGGTACGTACGCGGTATCTAGTACGATAGTAACGATAGTAAACTTAAGGAGTAGAAGAGAAGGAAGTCCCTACTTCCTTTTCCTCTATCTCCTCTCCTTAGCCCCCTCGCTTAATATAGGAGCTAATATGTTCTATTAGGTATCCGGATTAGACACTCTACGGACCCCCTACGGGGGGCCGGAATATATTATATAACCTAGGTTAACTATAGACAGCCTGCGGTCCCCCTACGGTTACGTATAGGATACTATAGATATAGTACGATACCTTATAGACGCCCCCTCTTACGCCTAAGGTCCTTATTAGGCCCGTAGTAGAAAAGGTAGGCTTTACTTCGTTTCGCTCTACTATAGGTATCTCCTATAGAGATCCCTAGCTTAACTATAAGGATACCCTACGGTACCTTATAGGTTCGTAGGACTATAACTATTATTAAACTTATATCTAAGTTAGGAATTTACCTTATAAATATACCTTAGTTACCCTACGAATAGCCGCCTAAGAGTGTCTACGTGCTTAGCGAGTTATAATACTTAGGGTTAGCTATTCGCGTAAGTTAGGCGGATATTAAGGCCTATACGTTTGTTTGTTTATTTATACGCCGCGCGTAGAGAAACAAATAGGCCTAATTCCGCTTCTTACCTTTACTCGGACTTTAAATATTATATTAATAGTCTTCGCAAGATTCTTCTAATCGTTAATAACATTATCTACAATATCTATATAGCGACTAGTAAGGCGCTATTATATAAACAGGTATATTTAGGGGGCTTGCGGATCCTATACGGTATACTTATAGTATATAACCTAATTATAAGTAGTAATTAACAATTAACATTAATACTAACATTAACATTAATATAGCTAGTACTTATACTAAGGGGTTATACTTGCTAGGCATTATATTATTAATATTCGAGGACAACTCTATCTAAGAATAGTCTATAGCCGCAGCCGATCCCGATACTAAGGCTAAATACTCTACCTATAAGAGGTATACTAAGAGTATTGCCGTAAGCCGTCGTTACGAGCGACTAGACTATAAGGCGTACGGGTACTATTCTAGTAGTAAGAGAGCTAGATATAAACTCGTAAGTTACCCTTAATAAAATCCCGTATACGATTCGATAGCTAACTACGATAGCTCCCTCTAAGATTTAATAGTCGTATTACTAAAGTATCCGAGCTACGTAATAGCTTCGTTAGGGCGTACTAGGTATAGTACTATACTATTAACGTTACTACGTAGCGCGTACTAGCCGATAACGACGTTCTTTAA